CGTCGCCGGAGACGGGCGCGTCCGAGGAGCCGCCCCGGCTCGAAGGAGACAAGAAGTGCCGGAAACGGTTTATAAAAATGGCACATTTATTGCTACAGAACGGTCATGTACATGACGGCATCGAATAACTACAGATGAGAAACAGGTAATGGCCTACACCAAGCTGTGGTTGTTTGTTTGCAATCATCTTCTTGAAGGAACTCCAGCACACAACCTGTTTGGACACTTCTACAAATCAGAAATACACCAAAAACATGAAAAAATCGAGGCACTCAGCCACACATTGAAAACAAGGTGTAACTGTTTATCTTTTTTTTTTTTAATCTTTTTCCCTTTTTTCATTTTTTTCCCACTTTTTTTTTTGTTTTTACTGCTGCAGCTATGTGTATAGTCGCAAAAATTCCCCGTTGCGACCTACAACTAAAAAAAAAAAAGCTACCATACAGTTTCATCTCAATAACACATGGTAAAATAACATCTTTTAAATAGTAAAATAAAGTAACAAACTTTTACTCAGAATGATTCCAAAAATCTACAAAGAAGAAATATTCAGAATCTGACAATTTTTTTTTTTCCGTAATATTCATGGTATAAAAGGATTGCTCCTGTGAAAAATAAGCCAAATATATTTTTTATTTTTAAATTTAGTTTTTTTTTCCTACTAGGGTGTACTACAGTCTATTTTATAGCAAAAAGAGCACTAGACAAACGAAGCTTTATAACAAAAAGCCAGGCACTGATACATGGTAAATCTCTGCTTTTTTTTTTCTTATCTTCACTTAATTGCATCACAAGTAACAAGAATGAAAAAGGCCACAGTTCATATATTTTCACCATTACATAAGTCTATAATACTTGAAATGAGTATGGTCAAACCAGCACTGCACAAATATGAATCAACTTCAAGTCCCATGAGAAAGAACATGTTTTTAAAAAACAAACAAACAAAAACGAAAACAAAACGAAAAGGTAGGGCCCCCCCGAAGGCCCTGGTGCCCCATTGTGTTGGAATTCATCATATTCCACCTTTTAGGTTTTTTTTTCCAGTCAACCAGTGGACTAATTTTTTCTTTTTCCCTTTTTTTTGTTTTTTTTTTCCTTTGAGGTTTTTTCCTTTTTTCTTTTTTTATTTTTTTCTATTTTAATTTAATTTTTTTTTTTTTTTTGTGCTTATTTCCGCTGAAATCTCTTCGTTCCTGGCAATATACTGTATTGTTCACTTTCGGACACGGACCGTATCTGCCTATTGGCTACAGAGATGAAACCCTCCTCTCCCTGACCGCCCGTTTTCATCGCCTTTCCCCCCAACCCCTGACAAAAAAAAAAACAAAAAAAAAAAGAAATCGGAAGACTGAATCAGTACAAGTTGCATCACTGGTAGGACTGACAGTTGTATAAACATTAGTGTTCCTTGCAGCTACACAGAAGACAAATGGTAAAAAAGTTCTAGGTGAACAGATTCCCTATTCAGCATATTCATAAATTACTTGAATGTGGAGGTGGATCGTTTCTTAAAAAGCTGCTCTTTGAGTATTTGTTTCTTAAAAGAGTTTCTTAGCCCGGTTTATTACCACGTAATGCAGCTTTCTAAAACCTTCATTATTTCAACTAAGTATCACCAGCTAAATTACCTTGGACAAAGCCAGCTCAGGATGCACGCGCCTTACCTGGTTTGGGGAATAATGGAAAAATTAAGCACCAAGCACATTTGCTTTTCTTTTTTTTTTTAACTCTTCCCTCACCTAGAATGGAAACAGAATAGGATCCTCAGTTCTTAAATCCGGCAAGGATGAATGTTTATCTCGCAGAAACTAGGCGCTTTATGCCTAGATGTGAAACACCCTGTGCAATCTGCTCCTCTCACGGTGCCCAAGGACTTCAGAGCCGTTGGATCCAGACTGGAGCGCCTACCCAATTTAAGTGAAAGCAGAATGCGAACGAAACAATACAAGCTTTTGTCCTTACACGTTCCATAAACTAAACTTGCCATTTATTTTCTGTCCACAGATTGCTTTAAATAAACATGAAGTTGGTCTTATAATTTTTTACATTGTTTATCAGAAGCACGGTTCTTAAAATCTCCAGGACTCAAAGGGCTGCTTTCAGGTCCCTAAAACGAACATGTGGTGCACTTGTACAGAAATAAACTGAGCATCATCCACTGCGTTACAAATTTCCTGAAAAAAAAAATATGGCTTGTTCATTGTCATTTTACTCTTAATACCATACACAGTAACAATACATATGGTACTGATAAACAGAAACCTTTATCCTGCTGAGGATACCAGCGCTCAGAAACATTAGCTATCATTAACATCGGGCGGAATTAATCTTTTATTACACCCATTTTCATATAAACCAGGCCTGTTAAAAGTCCAGCATTTAAAACGTAATATGCATTTATAACTCTGAATTAAACCTTAGTGTATTCTCCTCTCTTGTGTTTTTCTAGTGGTTTAATCCACCTCCACATTTGAGAAACTTATCAACAAATCAAAACATTTTAAATTTTTATCGCTACTGAACATATTTACAGTTTTCAGCACGCACACAGCTAATCAAAATGTTTATGGGTATGTAGAAGGTGATCACATGGTAACTATCATATTTGTTCTTTACGTTTTCAGAAACAAACATAAAATTCAGATTCTCGTATCTCACTATTTCATTTAAATGAGACTTTTTTTCAACCACACAGATTTTTATAAACAAAAAACTGATACAATGTATTAAAACACATAATAACAAGAGTCTACATGTAAAAATATAACTTTTACATACACAATTTCAAAATAATGATACGTTTGCCATTTGTTGCATAAAATTTACAAATGTATTTTTCATTACTATATAACTGGCAAAACAGGAGAACAGATGGAACATTTAGACCGTTTGATGGATTTATGGCATTTATTCAGTGTTGAGAGGTGGAAAATCTACTTGAACAGGGAGATTTTATTTAAAATACATGCCAGGTTTGTGTGGCTGTAAAAATAGAAACTGGAATTAGAGACAAAAGGATGCTGACAAATACTTAACTAGGAGCACTATCTGTTAATGGTACTGTACACCAGAGTCAATCATTATTAAGATTCACTATGGAAGTTGGTTCAGTTGTGCCCAGACTTCAAAGCTAGTTATCAGATGAGTTGCTGTGCCATAGTTTGAGCTATGTTACTATTAAATATGTTAAGTAAAAACTTCATTCATACTGGCCAGAGAAATACTGTACTACCACCCCTCCTCAAGAAAGTGCAACTTAATGCTTTAGGACTCATAAGGCTTGTTGTAATGCTGCATGATGACTGAAATTGGCATTTCACAAAGAAAGGAGGAGGCAGCAAGTGGTCTACACTTAAATAATCCACTTAAAAACAAGAGAAGAACAACAACAACAAAAAAAAAAAGTCGATCAAATCTGTCACACTACTTGCAATTTTCCCACTTGATGTTTTTTTATTTCCCCCTCCCTCCCCCCGCCCCCAAATCTGACCATGTATTCAGAAACGCCTCACTGCACACTATTTAGGCTACACACATAGGTAACACTTTAATCAGTTTGTTAAATCACAGCCACTTTGATTATGTTATGTTTCCGATGATATAAACATTGGAAGGCACAGTGGTAACATTGTAGCATTCTAACCTTGTACCTCTGAAAATCCCAGAAAAGGGTCAACGAGAGCAACATTACGATTCGGACAAACTCGTTTTGCCAAGTCTCGGTAACGTTGCCTGTAGTATCTACACATGATGTGACTTTTTAAGTCCTGTGTTCCCAAAAGACTGAAGAAACAACTCTCTACTTATTTATGAATGAGAAGCAACGTCAGGGTCAGCATTTCATCCTGCACTACCCCTCCAGAGACAGAGTTGGCACTACAGGTTACAATAACAAAAACAGGGGAGAGGGACAGAAATAAGACAAAAAAATCCTTATTTACAGTAAAATCTTCTTTTTAAAAAAGTTAATCAGTACTATTTTTTTACAGGAGCAAAAAAGTCTGAAACAAATGAACAAAAGCTTACCATATTCACTAAATATTTTTAATCCATCTGTTCCTCCTACCCTAAGGAATGGCTAATGTCATCACTTCAGTTTTCATTAGGACGTTTGCTGGTTTTGTAAATATCTGGGCAGCAAAGCTTCCCTTTTAATATCCAGTAAGTATAAACACTAGCTGTCTAGCACACCAACAAAAACGCTCATTTTTTTTCTTCAGAAGTACACTTTTTCATTATTGCAAGTTTACAATTTTAAATTAAATATTTTTTTTCAGACTTACAAATTAATTATATTTTTTTTTCCAAAAGAAGTTTAGGCACAAATGCATTGTCCCACAGTGTGGAGAAGATTGCCATTCAGTCTCTAGGCTGTGCATTTACAGCTCGTAACATACTGCTTTAAACATTCTGAATGATATGTTAAAGAGAGTCGTCCCTCAAGTTGCACTTTTTGTTTTTTTTTTCTCGTTTTTAATATCGGGAATGCTGAAATCTCTTGCGTCTGTGATTCTTAACTACTCAGACTTGTCTTATATTACAAAAAAGGGGTTAAGGAGAAGTGTTTATGTGGGTTTAAGATAATACAGCTGTTAAGGAAGTGGTCTCTTGTTTAAATGAAGAAATGTGGCAACTTGGACCTGTGAAAAGAAGAAAAAAAAAGTCAAATCAGTCAAGGATAGTCGAACATACATAACTATATGCTCTTCAAACAAATGATCTGAATGTGGCCTTAGAAATCAAGCGTGCCTGCCCAATGACTCAGGAACCAATCAGTTAAGGGAGGGGCCTCTTACAGCTACTTAGTTCACGCTCGGTCCCAGCCCTGGCTTCGAGGAACTGCGAGGAGGAGGAGGAGGTCCTATGCACTAGCTTTGTCTCAGTTCACTGTAATCCACTGGGTGCTTGGGAGAAGGCTGCCAGTACCCGGATACTTCTGGAAATCAACTTGCCTTTTTTACATCTGTCCCATGTGATTGGATGCATCTCCCATCCCAGGGTGGGGTCCCGCCAGGGAAAGTGGAGGAGGATCTGAAGATACTTTCTCTTCTTCCCTTCTTTTCAGACACGCTGCTTTAGGGTTCAGATTTCTTTCTGTTGAATGGGAGCAAAAGGCAATTTCAAATATTCAAATTTTTACATCAAACCGATCTGTTCATTGCACGTGCATTAAAAATGGCTAATGTATCAGTTACTTGTTGCAGCCTCGTCACAGGAATTTAGAGGGTTGGAACTGAGGAAACAGCTTGCTCAGGTCAAGTGCTGAAATGCAGCAAGCGCACCTCAACGCACAAGCTCTGCAAATACCTTCATGTTTGTGCTTTGCTAAGGAGCAGCCAAGCTTAATATTGAAATTGGATCTTTCTGAAGAATGTAAAATGTATTGGCAGTGTCAAAGATCTATGTCAACATATGAAGTGTGGAGCTGTGAAGGAACACAAGCACCTCACCGTGACCATGGGCGCTCAAACCCAGCAAGGACATGCCCTGTCCCACTTCCGCGTAACACGGTGAGCGTGTCGGGTCTCTGAGATGGATACTGCCTTTGAGCGTGCATTGGTTGCCCAGCATGGTGACAACTGAGCACCTTGGTGTCCTGGCCGGCGTCTAAGGCAAACTGGGCTCCTCACCCCTCCAACACCCCAGCAGCAACTGTGCAACGGTGCAGGCATCTGCATGGGGAGGAGGATGTGTTTCTCAGACCCCTGCTCAGCCCGACTTAGAGCTCCGGCGTCACCTTACACACCATGAGGGCAGCCCAGACACCAAGGGTTAGCATCGCCTGTCTCCCTCCCCACACCGATGGATTAACACAGCAGACCAGCCGTACGGGAAGGGCTGGGAAAAACTCATCTCCAACAGCCACGGGATCTCATCTCCCTTGGCTGCCTTCATCCAGCACAGGCAAGGTGCCCAGCTACCTTCCAGTGGGAGAGGTTAGGGCTTGCCTCCCTCCTTGGCGTCGGGTGGCATTGGCCAGGCTTTCCCAAATTCACAAAGGTGTGTTTTGCATGAATGAAAACCAGGAGGAATTTAAGGAGCGCCGCTGGCACACTGACCTCTGACTTGCTGCTCTAAGCTGAGGATGACAGCTACAGCCTGGTGTAAAATCAGGAGCTTGGTCTGGGGCTTGTCGCTCTTCAGATGGAGTTGCACCATCCGGCCCAACTCCTTGAAAGCCTCGTTGATGTCGCGCACGCGCAGGCGCTCGCGAGCGTTGTTGGCCATTCTCCTCTCCTTTTCTCTCTCGGCCTTCTGCTCAGGTGTCAGGTCTTCGTCATCGTTATTGCTGAGAGACAAAAGGAATACATCATTTTCTAATGATCTGGAAAATAAGTGATGCAAAGATTTCAAACAGACTTCACCCAAAAGTACAGCTGCAATTCATGAACAGATACCTTCTGAGTAATTATAGCTTGCTGCTTTTCTTCCGCCAAACCTCTGTGTAAAATTCACTCCCCTTAAATTTTACACTGAGTAAAACTCCTTGGTTTCTAATGAACCTTTACAATCAGCAAGGCAGGACAGCCTGACTTCTGATATTTAAAAGAAGCCAAAATGTACATTTTTTCCCATTAAATATTTTTCCATGGCCAATGCTGCAAAATTTTAATCACAACAAGTATGTCATGACATATTCTCTGAATTCCACATTGTTCTGAACAACGATGGAGCATGTCCACTCTAAATTAAAACCAAGAGCATTCCAGACACTTCTAATAGTCAATATTCTTCTCTAACAAATAGAAAAACTGTGACTAGGAGATCTATTCAGCTGAAATTCTATGGCTATTATATATGGTCCTTTGGGTAAAGGAGGACTCAGAAGACTATCCCAGGTGACACAGACAAGGACTGCGAGTGAGGTCAAAATGAAAATACTAAAATATAAGGAAGCTGTAGTGCTCATGTAAAGGCTCTCATACAGCTACAAGACTGGAGCACAACAGGATCATGCAGCAACCTACAGCTATGTTTACCCTCCATCCCAAAGAGCGCACTGGTGGCTAGTAGCAGTTTTCCCACCATCTTTGTTGTCTGTGGGCTACCTCTGGAGACCCATGAGCTTTATGCTTTTATCACTGCTGTTTTGCCTTCTTCTATTAAGTATGTTAGCAGGCAAATCTCAGGGATGCAGGGATGCAGGGATGCTGGGATTAAGTTTCTAAGCCAGGAAGACAGCCATGTATTTACGTATGTCACCTTTAGCAGGCTATCATACCAGTTTTAGAACAAACATTCTCCATCCTTAGGACTGTGAGGGTGAGGGGACCCATTACTCTCTGCGGAGATGGCCATGGAAAGCCACCAAGGCTGCTCTAGGAAGCATCCTCCCTGTGACACCGAGCATGGGGCAGCGAAAGTGTCCGTGGGCTAAGAGCCACAGAAGTAATTTATGGCTGCAGAGAGCCCTACAGTTAACTTCCGCATCTTTTCTGCAGCAAAACTGCTTTCTATCCAGACAAAGTGATGATTTCAAATTGAAAACATATTAACATATTAGTGAGTCACTGGCACTATATAATTTGAATTGGTTATGCAAATACAGTAATAAATTTTCAGTAGCCCTAACAACATGAACGTAAACGTATAACTAAATATCAGGAGTAACCTTTTAAAGCTGCAAGCATGTTAAAAGCAAAAACGTTAGCCTATAAAGCTTCAAAGCACACATAAATATGCACAAGTGAGACCATATTTGTTAAATTAACTAGAACTATGATCGGCCTACATCAGCGTAAAGGTGCTTTCTTTTTACCATATCATACATGGGCATGAAAGCCTCACTTATACATATGGCTATTTCAACACCTTTATTGAGAAACAATCTCAAGTGTCATATACTTTCTCCAATCATAAGAGACATGAATGTAATTAACGTTTTAAAAATCAGTGAGTGCAGGCCTGTGAGTTCCAAAGTCTCAGCCCTTTCTCTGGAGGAAAATGTCTGCACAGCACAACTCAGATGTTTCTTATCTCGTCTCTGTTTTCATATAGAGAACCAGGGGTGGAAGGAGAAAAGGCGGAATTAAATTTCCATTTAGGTTTTAAAAACACCCCAGAAAACAAAGCAGGATTGTGCCTTTCAATTTCAGCTTTCTCGGCATTTTTGTCATGTAGCTTGGGACTCAGCTGAGGATGAAAGGTATCTGTACTCCTGAGCTGCACCTCAGGTCCTAAGGTGAAACTCAGGTCAGAGAGGTGAAATTCAGGCCAAACAGGACAGAAGAAAAGCCTGTCCTTTGTTCCAGTGGTTAATGTTTGCGGTGTCCATGGACATCACTCAGGTTCACCAAGGATATGAGTCCACCAAGGATATGATAAAATCCAACTACTATGACTTCACTAATACTTTCTAAAAAGTTACAATATGCAGAACAAACTTTGTCCCACTGGCAGTCCAAATACATTCATGCATTTCATAACCACCACCGTCTCCAAGAAAGAGAGAAATCTACTGCATTCCTAGGACTTGAATACAATAGAAGGCCCATCTTCTTCTAGAAGATACAGAAGGGGCCAAATCCTTAGCTGCTGTAACAAGGCCACTAAATCCTCCAATTGATCCTAGGAACTCTAGACATTTACAGAAATTGAGAATCGGTTATAACAAATTTATTTCAAAGGCAAAAGAAAAGAATACAGTTTGTTAGTTCAGGTGTAGACGCGATCAACTCTTAGCCACGTTTTGAAAAGCTGGAAATATATACTGTATTCCAATTTGCAAGCATAGGCAGAGAGGAATAACAGCCTAATAAATCCATTTTAGTGTAATGCAATTTCTTTGTAGATTGTGGAGAACTTGCTCAGTGTCCAAATTTGTGAATTGTGCAAATTTGAGGAAGTCCTGGAGTACAAGTACCAGAAATGTACTTAGCACTGCCAGAATAATTGTTATGTTCCACTTAGGCTGTGGTTTTACCTGCCAGGAAAAAACTCATCGTTTCTTCCTGTTCTGTTCACTTCATCGAAATCCAATAAAGGAATTAAATGAAGCGACACTATTATATACTGTTACCTAGATCTTGACCTAGTAATTGATTTGATATCCTTCTTGTCATCCTCTAGTTTCTTGTCCTCAGAAGATTTTGTGTCCTGGAGGTTTTCGTCTCCCTCGTCATCAGACTTGATTTCGGAGCTACCTGAAGAGACGCTCTGCCCTTGCAGTCCGGTTGGCATGCCTAGGGAGAAAACACACGGGTGACCTGTAAGGCAACGCTGCAGCGAAAAGCGTGCACGACTGGGGTCTATGTCCTCTGCTAACGGTGCCCAAAGGAGGGCCTGTGCCGCTGCCTGCAGCTCTCAGCAGCACAGGCCCCACCGACGGCCACAGAAGGAAGTGCAGAGGACGCAGCTGCTGAAAGCAGTTCTCAGCTGCGGCTTTGAGGTTTAATTCTCCTCTACGGTCTTTTGGAAGAGATGATGGCTCACTGTCTACAGAACATCAGCTAAACTGCACTGAAAACCATAATCACAGAAACCACACATCTTGTGTTCTGACTTGAGGACCCAGTGCGTGTATTAACCATTATCCTCAGCTTTTTCTGCATGCAGGAATTTAGGAAGAAAGAAAGACTTTGAACTTCTACAGCAAATTTCATTCCTACATCTGAAAGAGCTCTGCACATTCACTACCTGTTAGCTGACAAGATTATCGGCATTTTACAAAACTGACAGAGAGCTTGTGATCTCCTCCAGCCGCACGTTTCTAGCTGGTAGATGACTGTGCAGGATGACATGGGATGCCTAGCTGCTAGTCCTTTTTTTCAATCACTGGATAACTTTCCCTTCATCTTAAAAAAAATCTCTAATATGTCATTGCCATAAAATAATCAAAGTACCTTAGCTGCAAAGAATGAGCAAGACCTTGTGTAACAGAACTTTGGGATTCGTTCTTCCACATTTTAACTGGCGTTTTATCAGACTCTAGGAATAAAGATAAACCCTAGATGGCTTCTAGGTTCAGATAGCGCCAGACCTATGTTGAAACACTGCAGGTATGTGTACGAATCTATGATGTGGGCTACAAAAGCGCAGGGCGTCTGTGAACCAAGGACAGTCTGGTGTTGACCCTCTCACACATCGAGCTGCAAAGCTGGTGAAGATTAGCTGTGTGCTTGGGTTTCCCCTGAAACTTGCACCTTCCTGACGGGCATCCTACAATGCTTGCCACGTTCTTAATCGGCTGCTTGCAGTTAATCTTGGTATCAGACCTCACTGCCCAGAGATAAGGCTCTCGTACACCTCTAATAACTGGAGTGTTTCTGAAAGGTGAGCAGGACTATCAAAAAGCCTCCATCAGGCTCTGTCCTGGGATGCCTGTTACTCACCCCTGTAGGGATCCTGGGGCGGGTTGAGGTCCGGGGAGGTGGCGGACTGGACGGGCAGCTGGGGGACCGGGACCTGGTTTGGCACGAGCGAGTGGCTGCTGCGCAGGCTGACGCCGTCCTCGCGGTGAGCGCCGACCTGCGGGAGAGAG